TCGCGCTTGCACCAAGCTAATACATATAAGGCAATATAGCCTCGGCGCTAGCGTGAAGGCTAACAGGCTAAGCTGAGGTTCTTCTTCCATGAAGCAGCTCTGTTGTCCTCCATCCATATTTTCAGTTCCAGGCTGAGTCATTTCTACCTTCTCCTCTCTGTCAACGCTCTCTGGTTTCATTTAAAAGAGTCGATCGTCAGATATTGTCCAAGATTAACCTTCAGGGTGGATATAGCTCGCTCACACCGAGGACCTATCCATGTCATCATTTACCCAGAATGCTTTGTGTGTAAATAAAATAGCTCCYTCCWTATTAAAATATATTTTTTAAAAATTGACAAATCTAAACTGCCTACAGTATTTTTACAGTCTTTATTTTACAGTTAAAATATATGTTTATCAAATAAAGTCTAATGTTACAACTTATCAGGGATCCCTTTAACAAATTAATATATATTGCAATTAAGTATTGGTTACTTTACATTATAATTCAACTAACAGTTGGAGGAACTAGTCAAAGATCTTACATTATATATGTAAACTCTATAAGCAAACAATGTCAGGCTCTATTTAAATTAAAACCAAAAGCGACAGAAACCTGTATTTAATGAACAGGAAAAAATGGAGTCAAAGTCACAAGCTGTTACTTCTGCTCTCCCTAGTGATGAGATTTAGCTGCTGCATAAGTACCATATTTGGGGAAGAGACTTTCTGCATAAAGAAGATTAGTGTTAGTTGTTTGAGGGCTTGTGGGGAGAAGATTTACCATTATTACCAACCCCAGTGAAAAGAGTGAAAGCCAGGCACAATCTAATACCAGCGCTTGCCAAGCTCAGAAAATGTTAAGTGAGCCAAGCCATACACCATATGGGAGAGAAGAGGACGTGTGGGGGTCATGGAGAGAATGACAAAGATTAGTTGACCTTGGATAGTGATAGATGATTGAGAGAGATTAACAATATGGAGAGCTGGTGATGGAATGGCCTAATAGCCTTCATAGTTATACAACAGCACTTTTACAGAGCAATAAAGTGTTTAAAAGTTTAAGAAATTCAGAAATGTTCGGAGGCACCATGAGCATTAAGTGGAACAAGGAGTCCTGGGGCATAAACTTTGAAAAGCCATTTTGGTGATGCAATCGTCTCATTTGTGAAAGAAAAAAAGGGAAAAGAAAGTTTAAATGTGCTTGCAGACATCAGCTCATTGTTATAAAATTGGGTTTGAGATCAAGTGTGAATAATGGTGCAATTTATAGCTAAAAGCATTTTTTTCCTACTCATAAAACTTTATTGGACCTGTGCCCACTGCCCATTATTTTTCATTTAGCACAGTATTTGTTTCAAAGTTGCTGTTTGCCAAAATTGTTCTTTTGGCAAAAGGACATGTTTTTGGATGAAACTGTTGTCAAACTTATTCATCTATTTCCTCTGTGGTCTGTTCTGTCAACATGGAAGGAAAAAAAAAGACTGAAAGAAAAACTCGGGCATGGGCTGACTAAAGTGGATTAACACGATTTGGATTTAAAAGAGAGATAAAAAAAAACTACAGTTTCATTTGCGCAAACCACAACTGTCCTCATAATCTGGTAATAAAATGTAAAAATCATGCATCATAGTGGACATCATTAATAATAAATACTATTTACAACACCAAATTGTACTAAACGAGGTGTTGCTTTATTAATTCATTAAGTCCATCAAAAAAATGTAAAAATTACTTTTTTTTTTTAGGAAAAACAATTACACTACCCAACGTGAAGTCCTGAGGATTGCACTATTCTCACTGCAGGAACAAACAAAATAATATTTTGACAGCAAGCTGTAAGTCATAGTAGTAATATACTGTCTTTAACTTACCTGCAAGAATACTGTAAGTTAAAATGAGATAATTGTGCATTTATCTGCACATATATTCCTCATGATGACACAGAATGTTCTGTTTTTTAGATTTTTAAATGAAAAAAATCTAAAATAAACACATAGAAATAACAGGGGGTAATTTGATCAGGTAATAAAACTGATAATGTGTGTGCAGAGCAAAGACAATGTGAACATCTTGACACTTTTACAACTCACCAAGTCTCAGGACCTGCTGCAAAGTGAGCCAAAACTCTCCCATAAAGTACACCAGTGAAAACAGTCCCTTCCTTTTCACCATGGTCAGTCCTCCAAAGTCAAATCTAACATTGAGATTAAAGTTTGTTTGTTTTCTCCTCAGTGATTCATGCTGATACCTTGCCAGTTCTCGTATCCTTAGCAAAAATAAAACAGGATCCGACCCACATCCATCCCTCACACATTGTGTTGAGGCAAACAAAAACAAAAACAAACAAAAATCCACTTGCAGTTATTGAAAGACCACCTGCTTTTCCATCCTAAGATCCATTAAATGTCTGTAATCTTTTGCTTCCCATATTTATTCTCTTGACATCTTTCTTATCATGTTTTCCCAGTGCACACTTGAATTCTAAGCTGAAACTGAGGAGGAGGACTGTGCGCTGTGCTCCTTCTGTCAATTATGCAAGAACAGAAAAACCCTTTCTGTTTATTGCTTTCAAAATAAAAGCTGGGAAGCTGAAAGTGACAAATCAACAACACAGTTAAATCAGATTAGTCATATTTCGAACATTTTCTATGCGTTTTTTATCAATCTAATAATTACAAAATGGAATTTTTTTGCTGTAGTACAGAAACTGGTTGCAATTTTTTTTTTCTTTATGTTAAAATTTGTTCTTGTTACATTTTAAGTTATTGTTGTGGAGGGACAAAATGTTATTTAACTGTTTTAATTAATGTCTGTCAGACATTTGATTACACCTATGTTTGTTGACTTTTAACTGGTATTGATTATGTACATATAATAGATGAATTGTAGTTTGTTTACTCAAGGCTTTAATCATGTTGAAATGTTAAATATAAGGTAACCTTTCTGCATAAACTGCTGCTCACTTATCCTATTGCATGAATGCTTTTATTATGAAGTCAAATGTGCCTTATTTCTGGTGTCACCAGCTGTGCCTTCAGTTGCTTTGACATGGCTGAACACCATCAGCACCAGCCCATACAGCTGCTCAATTGAGGGCACAGCCAAGCTGCTGATCTCCAAACATGGATACGTCCTAAAGATTAACTTCAAATCTGCCAGCATTCGACCTCGACAACGTCTTTGCTTAGCTACACTGAGGAATGATTAAATCTTTGCTCCAGCCCTGATGAAAATGCAAATTTAATCTACAAACTGGTTGGTGATGCTCGCTTGAAGATTAACCATCTCAAACTGTTTGTATGACACTGTGTTTTAGTTCAATTATATTTGTTTTGTTCCTTTACTCAGAGTGGTTTAGAATGCTGAGCTAGAAGAGTGTTAATTTGCACAAACAAGCAACTTTTTTTTAGCATTGTCTGGTGTTTTTTGGCCAAACAATTATGTTTGTCTTTTTTAATTATTCTAAAGTTTTATAAAGTAGACTGGTAAATAGATTTTTTCACCTAGAATATCCAAAATTAGTCTTGAAAAAGAATAAATATTGCATCAGAAGGTTTTAGATGAAGTTGAAAATCTATATCAGCAGTTTGGCTCAATTAGTTTGTTAATAATCAGGTGTAATTTAAATTCATTTTTCATTTTATTTTATTTTACAAAATATTGCCTATGTAAAGATTACATTACATTAGTTTTTACCTGAAAAAATGTACAAGATTATATGAAATGCAGTGGAAGAAGATGTTTTCTTTTTGATTTGCAGCATAAAGGAGGGAATATTAAACTATTCAAAGACTTGAATCTTGTTCTGTAGGCCCATCTAGTGGTTAAAAGTGAACATGTCAAAAACAGGCTTCCACCTTTGTGTTTTCTTGAAGTTGGATGTGTCAGTAGATGTTTGTTGTCATGCAGTAATCACTCATCCAACTATTCATTTTCTTTACCCACTTTTTCTTTCCAGGTCATGAGGAGCTGGTGTGAATTTGCAGCTGTCCTTGTGTGACAGGACAGGTTAGCCTGAACATGTAACCTTTTACACTCCCACTCACATCTAGGAGAGTTACCAAGTAACCTACGGTATGTTTTTATT